GAGGGGCAATATCTGAAAATTTCCAGATGTGAGATCCAAAGCCCCCCTCCTCCTCCTCCTCCAAACCACCATTTGAGCTAACCCTAATTGGGAGTGAGGGTGTCCAACAGAAGTGAGATTCAAGCAAGATTTGAGTTATTCCTCGGCAAGACCATCAAGTCCTTCTCTAATCATTCATCGCAGTCCTTGGAGTTTGGGGACTCCTAAGAGCATGGTTAATAGTATAGCCAACAATGGGCTATATGAAGTTGCCACATCATCTATAGCCAACCTAATAGCCAACATTTATAATAGCTATTTACAAAGTAGTACTACTTCACTAATGGATGGCCCACCTTACAATCTCACATTGTTTCTTGGAGCACGTGCTGCAGCCGGCTCTTAATCTACAGCCCGCTTCCCTTCTCTCTCCTCTTCTCTCTCATCCAACTCCGCAAACATATAATATTTTAATCCTTACAAACTGCTGACTATACCTTATTATACTTACTCTTAATAGTATAGTCAACTGTTGGCTATAAGAAAGTAACATGTCATCTATAGCCAACCTCATAGCCAACATGTATAACAATTGGCTATAAGTATGTGCTACTTTATTAATACATGGCCCACCTTCTACTCTCACATAGTGCCTAGGAGCACCTAACACAGCTAGCTCTTGCATGTGAGCTCCCTTACATTCTCTCTCCTATCCTCTCTCCTCCAACTAAGTATAGAAATATTATTTTAATCCTTACAACCTGCTGACTATACCTTATTGTGTTTGCTCTAAGCAGTTGGGATCCGCCGAGAGCATCCAGTTGTAAAGCCGGAAGATCGTCTCAAGATGTACACTTAGTGTTTGGACTCAGGCTTGGTGGCCAAAACTCAAAAATACGATGGTTAGGCTTTTCTGGCCGAGGAGAGGCAAAATTTCATGTTTTGACCCTTTTAGCGTATAAATTCGGGATCTGACCCCTGTTTGGAAAAATTTCGACATTTGACCCTTTTGCTACCGCCACTCTCTACGGCGGTAGGTTTGCATAGCCTACCGCCAGAACATTCGGTGGTAGGGAAACGGCAGCTGCCGTCACACAAACGGTCAGGCGCTGACCTGGCAGACATGCTACCGCCAGAGCCAACGGCGGTAGGGAATGCAAGCCTACCGCCAGCGACCCTGTCGGTAGCGTGTGCAACCCTACTGCTCATTAACTGCCACTTTTGGTCACAGAACCCATGGCCGTGGGGCGAGGCACCCTACCGCCTTAGAACCCGGCGGTAGGCTGGGTAAACCTACCGCCACACGCCCCGGCGGTAGGCTGGGTAAACCTACCGCCACACGCCCCGGCGGTAGGGTCCCATCACAGTGCATTTTTTGCACATCTTGTATTTTGTTGTTGAAGAAACTGTGCTGTTTTTTTACATGAAAGTATATACTCATTTCTTTTACCATGAAAGTATACTCATATTGACAAGAACAATTGGCATGGCATGAAGTTAACTTAATGTTCAAACTAAATTTGACAGACAAACTAATAAAAAACTGAATTTGACAGCACATAATTTCATATTCGTTGAGAGCATAATTGAAAGGCACAAGGCATTACAAGAGGCACATAGTTTCATTATTCATTGAGAACATAATTTAAAGATACAAGACAAACTAATAGGATGATTTTCAGACAAGTTTGAAGAGCGGGCAGACATCATCATCTTCAGAGCTCCTTGTATGTTAACCCGGGCCGTGGAGACAGAAATGGCAGCAGATCCACCGGTTCAGGCGGAGGCGGAATGCTGGTCGACATCCGACCGTTCAAGCACTCCCACCTTGCCCTGCCCGCTGGAGTTTTCGCCTCCTCCCTTCCCCAGTTGATGATATCAAACGCAGATGCACTTGGGGGTGGCATCCTGGCTCTCTCCTCCGCATTGCTCTCAAAGTATATTCTCCGGCCCAAATTGCGCAGGAGATAGTTGGCGTGCTTCTGCGCAACTTCAATGCACGCTTCCCGGCGGACACAACAGATACTTGCATCTGCCTTCACTTTCTTCCACTCCTTCACGCTCTGCGACCAAGCCATGACATCGTCGAGGATCTGCTTTGCCCTCTCGTGCCACCGCTTTGCCCTCGTCGCCTCTAGGACCTCGTCTGAGACAGATCCCACCGGCTGCAGCAGCTCGGGGAAGGTCTCGTACATGTACGGGAGCGGCATCTCTGACGGAATGTGCTGGAGAGGAGTGGGAGGAGCGGGCGGTGATGGAGTCGGCGGTGCTTTCTCCAAGCTTCCGTACCTAAACATATAGATTCATCACACAAAGGTTCATCACCTTCAAAAAAATCTAAACCTAGGATTCATCATGTGGTCAAAAATTATAAACCTAACTTTTATTATCTAGAAATATCAAATAGGGTTCATCACCTTCAAACAAATCTAAACCTAGGAAATATGAATTAGGGTTCATCATGTGGTAAAAAATATCAATTGGGTTCATCATGATTCATCACGAAGGATCATCACCTAACTTGTATTATCTAGATGCAATCACCTAGGTTCATCATATCAACTAGGGTTCATCATGATTTTTAACATGAACATGAACATAAATCATTCTTAGGCTACATATATCAAGATGCAATCACCAAGGTTAATAAATAAATAAAATACATATACCAAGGTTCAAATGCATCATATCATATCATATTTCTCCAACAACATCCAACATGCATCATATCATATTGTTTTCAAAAACAAAAACCATGAACTAGGGTTCATCTTGAGGGGTTAACCATTTTTACTCCAACAAAATCCACTACTTGCATCATATAACATCCACATGCATCCTATATCAAAACAAATATCTCCAATATTCATCATATCATAAATTTTTTTAACACAAAAAATTATGAACTAGGTTCATTTTGAGGGTTCAACATTTGTTCTCCAACTACATCCACTACTTGAATCATAGCATATCAACATGCATTATCATATCACAATAAATTCCTCCAACATCCATCATATAAAAAAATCCTCCAAAAATAATATGAACTAGGGTTCACCTTCACATAACCATACCAACTAGTGACTAGAGTTCATATCTAACACAATATAACATCTAGAATCAACCTAAATCAATCCTAGGGTTCAAAATATTTAAATCTAGTTCAAAAAGGGGAGTGATTTGAATCAAATAATGCGACGAATCGGAAGCTATTTGACTAATACTAATTGGAGGGATCGAAGGAGCTTACTTTTCTTTCTTCGGGGCCATCTCGATCCGCAAAAACGGTGAAGAACGACGAAGATCAGAGGGGGGAGTGGAGGAGATGAGAGAGGGGGCGAGAGGAAGAACTCCTATGTTCTTGGGGCGGCTGGTTGGGGAGAAGGGGGAGGGGTGGGGCGGCCCGCGACTTATAACTTCCCACACCCTACCGCAGGGACCGGTAGGATCGGACAGGCTACCGCTAGGACCAGCGACGGTAGGGTGAGACGGAGGGGGACGGAGACCGTAAACGCTGCTGACGTGGATAAGTTTCCTACCGCCGCAGGTTCTGGCGGTAGGCTAGGTATCCTACCGCCGGGCCTCGTGGCGGTAGGAAAAAGGATCAAATCTAAAAAAAATCAAACAGGGGTCAGATCCCGAATTCATATGCTAAAAGGGTCAAAACACGAAATTTTGCCCCGAGGAGACACCGTATCCATGCCCCTCCAACAGGGACATATGCCAATGATTTGAACTCCAAAATTTACAACAACACCTCTATTTGCCCCTTCAATTATTTCTGTTACTTACTCATTATTTTCTTTTGTCGGTAAACCCTATCTTTATATCTGCAACTCACTCATGCGAAACCTCAACGAAGCACTCGTTTGATGCAGAGAAAGGATGACTTGGGAGAGAGATTTGGTTGGTGGCTAACTTTGTCATTACTTTGCCATACTATTTTCTGTTGAACTTGTCTTCAGTAGGTGTTTAAGTTCTTAGCCACACTTTAACTTGCCTAACAGAATTTGCCACACCTTTTTCGTGTGTAGCATATGGGTTTATTTCTCACAAAACGAATATCGCTTTAGAGCATCTCCAACGGCCGCACAAAAATTTGGCACCCAATAAAAGTTATAGCGCGCCATTTTAGAACTTTTGCTGCACCGGGACCAACATCGCTTTTGCAGACGTCCAAAAACACGCGCACAAAAAGCACACAGTGCAAATTGTGAAGCCCGCGTAATCCGAAGCCCAAAATATGCTGCGCGCGATAGCGTTTTTCAGCACGCGCCCAAAAACTTTTAGCGCTACAGCATCTGTTGAAGCTGTGCGGCACCAAAAAAACAAAACTTTAGTGCGCGGAGCTCTTTTTGAACGCCTGTTGGAGATGCTCTTAGGTGTGGCTAAAACGAAACAACCACCTAACTTTGATCAAACTAGCCTAACTAACTTAAGGTGTGACTGAGTGTGGTAATGCGTGGCTATGAACCAAACAGCCCCGTGGAGACAAGGGCAGGCAAAGCTCGCTGGAGATGGTTAAGGCTTCAGGGAACTTCCGAACCAACCAACTCAACATCATGTGTTCCAGGCTTGCAGAACATGCTCCATTATTTTTCGTCTCATGTGAGATCATGAGGTATGGGTTACACTTATACAACGCCTCCGGTGTTCACATTCCACACCATTGCAAGCAGCTCGCGTTCACCACAGATCCTCCTCATGTTCCAGGTGCGCCCGACCCTACCTATTTTTTGTTTCGAGACAGCGCATCTAAACCTACCATTCCACGGGCAAATTAGCCATATTTACTAACTCCAGAATCACGGGCAGCAACAACAGCAGAGGCAATCGGAGCTCATGTAATGATATACAGATTTACATGCAGCCGCTCGCGCTTCTTACGGCGGTGACCAACGAGTCCGCCTCCGGTTTCCTGGCCGGAGACCTCGAGGGGCCTCGCCGCGCCTTGGCATGATCAGGCCACCTCCCAGATCCCAAACAAACAATGGTTAGCTGGTCCTTGCAAGTCACCAAGTTCAGGCACCGTTTGTCATCAGGGGCTGATACTTTGCATAATCTATCCCGTTCAACCTAACACAGCACAAGACCTGCTCAGGCAGTTCTTCAGGTTTGTTTCCCTGCAAAGTGAGAAAGAAGCGAGCACAGTAAATAAACTATCTTTGCATATAGCAAAGTGAAAGGAGGTATTAGCTCAGAAACAGTTGTATGAGTGGCATACCTGGATGGTTAGCCCAACATCTAGCATGCATATTTTTAGCCTGTCCAGAAATGTCTCGAAACCTTTCCTTGAGATGTAGCCAAATCTATGCATGTCAATGTCAACCTCGAAGTAGTTATCACCCTGCACAGAAAGATAAAATGCTTTCACGCTCCTTGTACAAGTAACAAAAGTACAGGACCTAATGGTATCTTATAGCATTGCACTTGTTGCTCGGTGGCGCACTACCTAAGTGCTACTACTAGAAAGGTACTAAAAGCACAACTAACCAGGAAAAATTGATGCTGAGGTCTAGAAAGCACAGGCTTCTCGTTGTATGCATGCATTAGCTTCCTCTCTGCGGCACTTAAAGGAAGGTCCTCCAGATTAGCCACCCGTCCAAGTATCTTCAGCCGTTCCCGAAATGATATACTTGTTTCCATAGGAAATCCTTTTATTTTTTCTACATCATCATCAACCAACCTCTGTTTGGAAAGTCAAACAAGAAGAGTCACAATGTTGTCGACTTCTAAAAATAATTAGTACAGGAAAAGGACTGGCTACATATAGAAATTCACGAGTGCTTTCAAATGCAAAAGTGCCTCTGCTAAAAATGCCAAAGATGGCCATTAGCAGATTATCATTTATAAATTGAACTCCTGAATAAACCTCCTTTACTGAAACCACATTTTATAGTGTCAGCCATCAGTCAGCAATGCATGAAAATGTGTAGAATACACCTTTTATAGTTTTTATCTTGATCAACTATAGAGTTTATGCCTATAAAGTTGACCCTACAGCCCATAACTTACAAGAAAATGCAGTATATACCTATTTACCTTTGTAAAATATAAAGGTTTTAGCTCTAGGCCTGAAATCGCCTTTCAGTTATCACTAAAGCTGGTATTCCCAGGTTTAAATGCAGGAAAAGTTTGTTCATCAACTTAAGAATATTCTATATTTCCTGAACAATATCATTCTAATTATTTTATCCATTTCAAACATCTAGAGAAGCTACTCACTGGGCATTGTATCAATTTTTCACCACATTCAGAAACTGATTAGAAAATGGCCATTCTCAACATAAGGATATTATACCAAACAAATAGCATCTGCACTACGGCATCCGAACTATCATCTTCATTACATATAGCTAACTTATATATACAGAATGTAAATAGTTGGCGAAGCTGTGAAATATATGAGAACCATCAAAAATCTTACTCTGATATTCTCTATGAATAAGGGTGAAAGCTCTTTTGAGTAACCTTCGGAAAGCCTAAAATACAAAACAAAGCTCATGCCTTCCCCATCGGTTTCATTCTGAAAGAGTGAAGCAGGATATAGTGGAACCTGGTAAAAATGCACAAAAGGCGACATTGTCAAACCACTCATTAATATGTGACAGGGGCAAAGAATGTCAGTAGGAAAAAATCACTCCAGTTAAGCATAAATTCAAATTCGTCAATCTTAATTACTCAACTGACAATTTACTGAACTACTGCAAGAGAATTCAGGCACCCTTTAGACACAGTTGATCAGGGGCTCTATCATGCCCGTTTGTATCATGGAACCTGATACTGGGAGCACTAACGACTCTTTGGAGCCTAGTTCAAAGCCATGTGGGGCGAAATTAAAGCTTGTTGATTTCTTTTGTAGGATGAACAAGACATTGCCTCTCTTAATCAGGTTGCTTTTTTCTGAAGACAGAGCCACAGAACCTCCTTTCCCCGTTGGCCTCTACTTTTTATAGCAGTGTCCTTATCTTGAAAGTTAAAGTATTCGTCGTGAACACACTGTCTCAGCTATTAATCATCCAGGGGTCACATAAGCAACTGGTAGGAGGGGGAGTGGATGTACAAGCCGACTGCCCACCAACCAGGTTCAAGTCCTCTTCAACTTGAATTTGGCACATAGCCACGTACTATTCTACTACTTAATTAAATCAGTAACGGGTTCCTCTTTCTCCTAGGTATATCCATCAAATGCAAATACCTAACATGTTGCAGCCTTGTCAAATACAAATATACAATAACTTCTATCGTTTGTAATGCTACTATTTGATTATGTACAAACTGCACATCATATTAAAAGCATAATAACAGCTAAACCTAAAAAGATGGCTCAAAGGATGTAAAACACACAGTTACATCTTCACATATTTCTACCCAAACAAACAAGAGTTTTCACATGTAATTATTACAGAAACTAAGAAACACTAGAAAGGAACTGCAGGCAGAACCTTGGCTCTGAATCAGTAAATCAACAATGTTGTTAACTCTTGAGAATATATTTTGACAAATGTGTAACTGTTTAGCAGAGTCTTAACACACCTGTACATTGACCACCAAAAGAGGTGGGAGTTTGCTGGAGGTTTGAATATCAGGAAGCTTGACAAATCGAGATATATGATGGAGTTTTTGCGGCGATAAGTATACATCAACTCCAAATGGATAGTACGCCGCACAATTTTGAGCAAGCTCTTTCTTTTTATCCCTGAAGAATTTCAATTGAACCAAAGGTCAGTCACTTCCCAAAAGAATCCAGCCTTCCCAAATAAATGTGCATTGTGAAAATGAACAAGGTTGCTAGTACGTACTATGAAAACAATCAGTGAATGATGTTTACCTGAGATAGTTAGATCCCCGGACTCTGAATGTACCAGGATCAATATGAGACCAGCTATTCAGCACTTTCTTTTCCAGCAAACATAACTGTACTTGAGAACCTGCTAGAGGCCTTTCAAGGAAATCCTTTGTAGACACTGAACAAAACACAAATGTTTCTTTAGTAATTTTATTTATGATGCCGGTGTAATTGAGCTTTTAGGAAGAAGAGAAAAACTATGTGACCAAATGATGGATGAAGAACTGCTTACATAGCGTGGACGACGGGTTGGCTTCCCCGGACTTCTTCTTGAAGGAAAGCTTCAACGAAGGCATCTTCATCGAATGAGTCGGGCTTGTGGAAAGCGCCCTCTTCTTCTCATTCACACCAACAGCAGAGGCCATACATGGCAAACAGTTATTTGGCAGGAGACCGCAATTGTCCAGTATCCCTCCACTATTTGGGCTAGCACCACCTGAAACACTCACCCCATCCTCATGGCTAGCAGAGGGCCTCGCACCGTTCTCCAAATTCCCCTTTGGCAGCTCACTGGACCTTGGCTTCCTATGGTGGTCTTCAGCTCCGTTGAAGCTCCCACCATTGGCATCCCTCATACTCAATGCGGCTTCGTTCTCGAAGCCGTTGAGTGAAAAGGCATCTGCAGAGTAAACAGAAAAGCTCAACAGGCTTGAAATCAACACATGGTGGCGCATAGCCAGGCAAGTACATTGCAGAGGTATAATACGGAGAGTAGTTACCATCTTGCACGCTGTGGAAATCGTCCTCGCCGTCTGACTCGCTGATGGCGAAGGAGTCGTACCAGGCCTCCTCCATGCTCCCGGTGACTGCAGGAAAGGAAGTACCCAATTCAGCGTCAGGTGGGTGAGAATTCGGACTGGCGAGAGTACAATGCCACGAATCGCCATTGATGGCCGCAATAAACTGGCATGTACTTAACCACCGTAGTGCCAATTACAGCGCCGAGTGAAATTCAATAATCGATCGATGGATCGATTCGAAAAAAAAAAGTCCCCGGCCGTGGCTAGATAGATGCGCACGATGCGCAGATGCAGTAATTTAATTTAATCCCCAACAAGGACAGACGCGCGCGCGCAATCTCACGCCCCCCATGGTCCCCCGGGCCGAGATCAAATCTATCTATCTATGCCCCGAACAAGCAGAGGCGGAAAGGACGATTGGCGGAAAGCAAAGCAGCGGGGAGCGCATCCCACCCACCCACCTTGGAAGGCCGGGTTGCTGTAGGTCCGGCAGTCGCCGGAGGCCGAGGCGGAGGGGTCGGGGGGCCCCTCGGCCTCCTGGATGGTCTCCATGGAGGCGGCGCGGGAGGGCGCCTTCCTCCGGCCCTTGCCCCCGCGGCGGCGGCGCCTGCGCGAGGAGGCCCCCCCGGCCCGCGCCGCCTCGCCGGAGCGCGGCGTGCTGGGCTTCCCCACGCACGCGCTCGGCCGCGACACGCACGTGCCCATGCCCGCCCGAGCCGGGGCCCCCCGTCGGCCGAGATCGGCGCGGTGGCGGGCGCGGGGGAAGGTGGCGGGCACGGCGCTGGGCCTCGTCCGCGTCCGCGTGGGGGTGGAGGGGGTGGAGATCGGTGCGGTTGCGTGGGAGATTTTTGTTTTTATGGGCGGGCGGGCGGGCGAGCGAACTCTGTGGCTGTGGAGGAGGGGTAGTAGGGGGAGGTGGTGGTGGTGGTGATGATGGAGGAACAGGGGGACGCTGGCTGCGTGCGTGTATGAGCTCGGCTCGCCTTCCCACACGACTGCTGCGGGGTGGGGGGGAGATGGAGATGGAGATGGAGATTATGGAGGGGAGGCGCCGCTCTCCTGGACGCGGTCCTTGGTGGGTGGTCTGCCTCTGCCGCTGCTGCTTCCTTTTGTTCTGGTTGGGTTCGGGTGGGGCCCACGGCTTTTCTTTTCTGGTGGGAGTTAGGCTGGTCATAGTGGGGAGTAACTTAGGCTGCCTGTAACGGGAGTATCATAGATAGTATTATGCATGCCAACTAAGAGCATGCTTGGATACGTTTTAGTCCCATGACTAAAAGTAGTGGGACTAAAACTTGCTAGTCTCACTCATGCTTGGATCCAAGTACTAAAGAGACTAAAATCTAGTTATTGAGCATTTATTATCCTCCAAACCCTCCAATCCAGAACTAAGGAGAGGAATTAAATGAGGAGAGAGAGAGCTAATACATATTTTAGTAGGTTTCCCATGACTAAAAGATTTTAGCCTCAAGACTAGTCCTAGCCTCTCTTTAGTCAGGGGTGCTTGGAACTTTAGCCTCTAAAAGAGACTATTTTTAGTCAGACTAAAAATAGTCCCTTGTATCCAAGCACCCTCTAAGCAATTTTGATGAGGTGGTATAGAATTAAATGAAGAAAAAGAGGCTTGAGTATCATATCATAATACCATATATCATATTAAATGATGTGCTACTTTGTGTCATGCATGGCAATAAATATAGTCCTCTATGATACCAACATATGATACTATGCATTAGAGATATAGTTTCATAGACTAATATCATATGCATGATACTAGCATATGACACTAGTCTAAATTACTACCCTCATAGTGCAAAGTATCTTAGTAGTAGTGTCATAGTTTGTTTTATTTATTGTCTTATAGACCAATTTTGCCTCGGGAAGCGCTATGTTACAGTAAAATATTATATTAATCCAAACACCTCTTTCTTCATTAAATATTTGCCACATAAGCAAAATTATTTTGGGATGTGTTAAGTTACTACCTAAGTTATCTCCACTATGGCTAGCCTTAGGGGCAGGCTTTTCTCTGCGGGTGAGTGACGACCTTTTTTTTTAAGGGAAAAAAAATGCGCTCGCATGGTGGTTGTCCGCCGACGCAGGGGCGTCTCCGGCGGCCGCAATGGGTGGATTTTATCTCATTTTTATGCCCGAACACGTTCGGAATTTTGGATACACAATGATGTCCTACAATTTAGGTTTGAATTGTCCAGTGTTACACTGCACGGTGGCCGCACGAAAAGTACGTTGACCATTGGGAAAAAGTGAAGGCCATGTGCGTGCAATTTCGCGAGTTGACCGTTGACTAGATTTACCAGATTTGGGTGGTGGGGGAGAAAAAGTCAGTGACCAACTCAACGAAGCATCCATTCGGATCCAGTGCACGCGTACCATGGGGGGCTGGTGGTCCTTCACCAATCACAATCCTATTTCTTGCCAACATTTGGTAGTACGATGCTACCGTCAGGTCTCCGTTTTACTACGTGTTGAAAACTTGTTTCTCCTTCCTCCACTTTTGGATCCACACGCCTTGCACGGAAACTTTAGTGCCTAATCCTGGAAAACGAGTGCAAACATAGTTTTCTTATTTTTAGCTAGGAGACAATCTCTTTGTGATACTAACTAGTAAATGTGTGCCTACAATGGTTGATATTAGGACGTATATTAATTTCACGTGGATATTATGTAAGATATTACTAGTACTTGCGCATTAATTATGTATTTGACATTTATGTTAATATCTGGTATGATATTAATGCGTGCTAAACTTGTTGAGCGCTCAGCGTTGAAACAATATAGGCCGTACGATTGACCTAGTTTGATGGTCGAGATTAGTAGGATCTGCCCCTTTCGATCTTTTTTATATTGATGATGATTGATGGTGATGATATGGTGTATAGATATAGATAAAGATAAGATATGTTTTTGATTTTTTTTATATTGATGATATGGTATATAGATATAGATAGATATGAGATATGGTCTTCAGATTTACAAATTAATGTTGGATACTGGTGAAACTAATAGCTCTATCGTGACAGAAGAGAGCACATCTTCCCCATGGACACACACTGGTGCATGTGTGGTGTCCACGCATAGCAACTTCCATTGGATGGTGTTCCAAGTCTTGTATTTTGCTTTCTTACGAAGCAAAGTTTGTTTCCTTATTCAATTTTGCTTCCATATGACAAATTATGTTTTCAATTATGGTGAGCTTTATTTTTAGTAACACTTAGTTTTGCTTCCTAACAAGAATACTTCTTTTTCGGTGGCCAACAAGATTGTTCGAAGACAATCAGATGGTGTTTCCTTCTGGTATATGGTTTCCAACATAGGAGGGGGCTCATAACTCTAGCAAGATGAGATTTCACATCATCTAGTTTGCTTAGGAAGCAAAACTTATTACGTCATTCAGTTTTGCTTCCATATGAAGAAATTGTGTTCCAATTGTGGTAAGTTTATTTCGAGTGACATTCGGTTTTGCTTTCTATCAAGATTTTTTTACTAGTTAAATGCCCGTGCGTTGCTACGGGCGATAGATGATTCAAGTACAGTGTTCATATTGCATAATTATTATGTTAAGCAATGTCATGAGCAAACAGTGAATAATTATCTTATATCTTAATTTTGTCGACCACCTAGTGATTGAAGCACAAACTTCACTTAGCAAACATATTATCGTATGACAATCAAGTTAAGCAATTTCTATGATCAATTATTGCACAATTATTTGAAATCATAGTTGGTTCAGGTTCTCTCAGTAACACACAATACCAAGCTTTGTGTTAAACATGAATGACTCCCCATGACGGAGGTGACCTGCACAAAATAAATCTCTCATAATTAAAAATATAGAAATATCTAGTTTAATTCAAAAATATATGTACACATAATAAAAAATGCAAAGTATAATTACTGAAAGTATAAGTGACAGATATCTCACCTATGATGTAAGTACCTCCCTATAGACGATGTTCCTCGTGTAATTACCAACATGACAGTTGGAGCTCTTGTTTTTGCAGTAATTTGAGCTATTCATGCTGCTATCGTCTGAGGTCTTTTTCTTATTGTTGGAGCTCTTGTTTTTGTTGTAATTTGAGCTATTCCTTCTACTATCGTCTGAGACATTTTTCTCATTGTTTGTAGTCGGGGCGATAAGGATCTTGATGTTCTTTCTAGCAGTGGATCTAGATAGCGCGACATACAACTGCCCATGAGAGAACACTGGCTCGGGCAAGTATATACCCGCGTTCGGGATAGTCTGCCCCTGTGCCTTGTTGACCGTCATGGCAAAGCTGAGCCTAATAGGAAACTGCTTCCTCTTGAACTGGAAAGGGAACATCTCGTCATCACTGGGACAAAGGGGGGTCCTTGGCAAGAAGATCCTCTTTCCAGCATGTTGCCCTAGCACAATTTCTGCATCGATGACATTCCTCTGGAATCCTCGAACCACCAGCCTCGTGCCATTGCAAAGTCCATTCGCGGGGTCAATATTTCTAAGCAATATAATAGGGCAGTTTATCTTGAGCTTCAATACATGTGGAGGCAGCCCATTAGGGGTCAAAGTGTTAAGGAACTCAGATGGATAATAGTTATGAGGGTCATCGACTGCTGAATCAAAGCTATGATACACCATCTCATCTCCGTGGAAACGATTGATCATCCTTATATTTATCCTATCCACACAGTCATTTCGTGTCGATAAGATTGCTCTGGAGGTGATGTAGTTTGGATCAGACATATTAGCACCGAGACTGGGAAAAACATTGTCTATCAGTGTATCAAGATCAGTGCCCTTCCCAGTACAGGGCACACATATCTCGTCCGGAAGGCGGACACAACCATCATTATTGGTCTCCTCCTTGCCATCACCAATGCGCAACAAGTATTAGGCAAACCATGGGTCGCTATGTGCCCTCATATTGCGTACCAACTTTAGGTGGCGCATGCAATCCCAAAGGTAAGACCTACGCAGTGAAGAATCAATTATCTGAGCCCTTGACCCCTTATGGACAACAGGGAGGACTTGCCTGAAATCTCCACCGAACACAACTGTCTTTCCACCAAATGGTCGGTCTGGTCGGCTCATTATATCGCGCATACTATTGTTTAGCGCCTCCACCGCCTGCCTCTTTGTCATCGAAGCCTCATCCCATATAATGAGGGAAGCTGACTGTAAGAGCTTGGCAGTTCCACTCTGTTTAGTGAAGCTACAAAACCCACCATCATCAATGCTCAGTGGTATCTTGAAACGTGAATGAGCTGTTCTCCCTCCTGGCATTATGGTAGCTGCAACGCCGGACGTAGCTGTTGCTACTGCAATCTTTTTCTGTCCATGGACTTCCGCAAGAAGTGCCCTATATAGATAAGTCTTCCCGGTGCCTCCAGGCCTATCCACAAAGAATACGCCACCATCATCACTGTCAACAACAGACATAATTTCATCGTAGGCTTTCCTCTGATCCAAATTAAGTGAGTCTGATAGATTTGTGTCCTCAACATTGAGCTCAATGGTGGATTCCTCGAAGATCTCCCTTGGCATGCCGGAGGCAGTATCATATTCTTCATTGATACCAGGAAGAGGGAATGACTCTATGTCCTTGCCCATTGATTGTAGCATATTCCTGATATCTATCAGTATTGTTGCAAAGAGCCTTCGTAGAGATGATGGCATCTCATATAATGTAGATTCAGTGAGGGACTTATCA